GAGGCCACATAAGGGTTCAAGAGCACAGGCTGGGACTGAATCCCAGGTCTGTCGCTTTCAAGCCGTGTGCCCTAGTGCAAGGGGCTTAACCTCTCTCTGCTGGTGTTCTCATCTGTGAGATAGGGTTGCAGTAAGCACTGAATGAATTTCAACAGGTAAAGCTCTTAGAAGAACAGCACTTGGCACATGGAAATTGTGGATAGTAATAAGTTCGCTGTTACTGTTACAGCAGAGGAAGTGCTAGGTTGGTGTTGGGTGGTACTCTTGCTGTGCACAAAGTATCGGCTTTAAGGAGGAAGACCTGGCCAAGTCACGGAATGTTCTGGTTTTCATCTGAGAAATGGGAAACATTATTTTGCCTTCCTGTTTAGCTCACAGGGATTTTGTAAGAATCTGATCGATTTCAAAGTACTGAAAAGTGCATGTGCCGTTCCTATTGATAGTACTGTTTTTTTAGTGCTTTTGTTTTTTAAAAAAGTTTTTTAAAGATTTATTTATTTATTTGACAGAGAGAGAAAGGGAGAGAGCACAAGCAGGGGAAACGGCAGGTGGAGGGAGAGAGAGAAGCAGGCTTCAGGACGAGCAGGGAGCCCAATGTGGGGCTCAATCCCAGGACCCCGGAATCATGACCTGAGCCAAAGGCAGACGCTTAACAGTCTGAGCCCCCCTGGTGCCCCATTTTTTTTTTAATTTTAAAAAATATTTATTTATTTATTTTTAGAGAGAGAGGGAGCAGGGAGAGGGCCAGAGGGAGAGGGAGAAAGAGAGAGAGAAGCAGACTCCTTGTGAAGCGTGGAGCCCGATGTAGGGCTTGATCTTACAATGCTGAGATCATGACCTGAGCTGCAATCAAGAGTCGGACTGAGCCCCCCCAGACACCCTAGTACCGGTGCGTGCAGGAAACTATCCAACTCTGTTTTGTCGGGGAGAGATGGCATTCTTCTTGCAGATTAGCTTTCTATTAGGAGGAGGTGGTGGGGCTGAAAAGGCAGAAAGGCAGATCCTTTTGTTTGCTTTAAAGATGAATCTGAGCCCTTCTTACATTTCCTTGCCTGAGGAATGTTAACCCATGGTCCCTTATCCCCTTTAGTGAGAGCAGGGATCTGCCTCCTTATACCATCTGTTGTTTGCATCTGTCTGGGCTCTTAGACATGTCAGTGTCTTTCCAGAATTACTTAGTGTAACCTTGGTCATGGTATAAAGAGCAGGAGATTTATCTGTTAAATTATTTGTGGAATCATTTGCCGCCGATGATGTGACTGAACGGGAAGCCTGGCCACAGGAGGTGTTTGGAGCTAAGGCCAATGTGACGTTCAGACAAGTAGGAATTGGGTTACAGTTTTAAAAATTCAGGACCCTGGTATGAAAATGTCACTCACTCTGTATTGTTTTTCTTGAGCTACTGTAGTGAAAAATTTTAACTCATGTGTCCAAAAATAGTAGTGTTATGTAGATAAAGAACATTCTAGAAGAACACTTTGGAGGTTGAACTGACAGTGATTTAAAGTTTGAATTGTCTTGATACTATCCAACAGGGATGATTGTCATTCTGGTTCACAGATCGGGGGACTGAGGTCTATAGGACAGGGTGGAGTTCTCATGTCAGGGAATGGTCCAGCCAGCATGGAAGTCATGCCAGCAGGAAGGGGGTCAGCAGCCCTTCGGTTAGGTGAGGGGTCAGCCCCAGCTCTCTCTGCCGCCTTCAACATTTCCCCACTAAAGGGTTGGAACAAAAATGCCTTTTTCCGGCACTGGGGTCCGAGAGAAATGGGTCCCTCTAGACTCCACTACTGTGTGATCTTAGCCAAAGACTTCCCCTCTGCAAGCCTCAGCTCTAAAACAAGGACATGAGTAGCACTTTACTCTTAAGGTTGTTGTGAAGTTTTAACCACATGGTCCATGGAGACCAGTAGCCCAGTGCCTGGTATTTAGTAAGTGCTCAATAAACAGGAGCTAGTCTTACTGTCCTTTCCTCCCACATTCTGTCTCAACAAAAGTGAATGGAAGTTCTCTAATTGTAGTACCATGTTAGCACACTAGGATGTGTGGCCCCTGAGAGCTGAGGCATCTTTGATATTTTACCTTTGGACACAACTGGGGGATCAAAGCAGCCAGCCGTTCAGATACGTGCCCTAGTGGGGGGAAACAGAACCAACACCGACTTGCTCTTTAGGCTGTGTGTGAAGGTCAAGGACACCACCCATCCAACAGCAGATTCAAGGTATTAGGAAGACCCCCTAAGTCCAGATTGAGCTGATGATTTGCACCCACATGTCCCATGGAAGCTCCAGAATTGGTTTCCAACAACCCCAGCCTGGAGGTTGATAGAGCCGGTGGGTGGCGTTCTCCCTCCCTGGGAGGACTGGGTCTCCCCTTGGGGGGGCCCTGTGTTTATACATCTGTGGTCAAGGCATGGGGTACTGTCTCCCTAGACTGAGCAACTATAGGGAAGGGATGGAACCTCATTCATTTTTGTAGCCCCCACTTCTAGCATTGGTTCTTGTGCATGGTATGGTTTAGATGAATGTAGAGAGCATGAGTGGGGGCAGGGGAGAAGGGCAGAGGGAGAGGGAGAAGCAGGCTCCCTGCTGAGCATGGGCTCCCTCCCAGGTCTCCATGATCATGATCTGAGCTGAAGGCAGACGCTTAACCGCCTGAGCCACCCGGATGAGTGTATTTTAGATAATTGAATAGATCAACAAATCAATAAATACTTTCTGGAAAACTGGGTGAAATGAGATATTTATCAAATGATTTGGCTGCATCAGGATCCGTAGTCATACCTGGTAAATTGTTGGGCTTAGGAGAGGCCTCTTGTATTTCCAGCTGCTGGTTTTGTTGGGCAAGGCCGGCGGGGTCTGTCTCTGGAGCAGCGGCCCCTGAGGGGTGAGAGAAGATTTCTGGCAACAAGGAGCAGGCAGACACAGGGAGCCCCGCAAAGTCCAGACGAGCTCTTCTTGCCTGTCTCCTGGTACCTCACCTCTACCGCCTCCCTCAAGGACGGGACCAGGGGCTCACGGAGCTCAGTTTCTCCCAAGCACCCAACAAGCCATGTGCCTAGGTCTGAGCTGTAACACCTGGAGGACAGGGAAGCTGTTTCTAATTCACATGAAGGTGCTGTCTACTCACAGGCCATGCGCCTGCCCAGAGCGACGCCGCCTTCCAATGTTCACACAGGCGCCCCCCCAGGCTAGGGGCTGCTCTGCCCTGTAGATTTGGATCATCTGCCAGGTTTAAGCAAGGCGAAAAGAAATGAGGCCTTGTGTTAACTGTCCCCAAAACTGTGTTCCATGGAACACCAGCTCTAGGAGATGTGACAGGTGACACGTGAACAGAAGGATCCTGATGTCAAGAAACTTTGGGAAAGGGAGTTAGAATTCAATGTCATTTGACCACAGAACTTCTCAGACCCTTTCTGGCACTCCATGAATTTCACTCCGTGAAAAGAGGGCTAGATAACAAGCACTTCTTAAACTTAGCTGACATAGAACACTTCGTCTCCTTCAAAGCTGGTCTGATCATTAATGGAATGTACTTTTTTGGGTTGCAAGGGACAGAAATCCAACTTGTACCAGAGAAGGCAAACGGGGACTTGAGATCTCAGGTAATCGTTGGTTGGAGGGGGCAGAACAGGCTGGGCCCCGGACCAAGTGGTACCAAAGCCTCCACATCACTGGGACTGCTGCCCCTCTGTCCCTCACCCGGCTTCTCTCTGCCTGCTGGCACTCGTCTCTCTCGGCGCAGGCTGCCTTTGTCCGCAATGTCTACAAACAGGCTGTTGGTAATGCCGCATTCTTATTCTGCAGAACCCTCACCAGATTCCTGCCCCTCTGGGTCTTTGGGAAGTCTTGTGTGCGCCCCAGTGGGCAGGGCTGTGGGGACCTGTGAAGGAGCACTGCCGGGAAGATGGGCTGAAAGACAGCCATTGCTTTGGGTTTAAAGAAGCCCTTTTCCCCTTTCTGACATTTATTCTACACTTAATGAGCCTTATTTATTTATTTATGAGCCTTACTTATTTATAATGAGCCCTATTTATTTATTTATTTATTTATGATTTTATTTATTTAATTAGCAATAATCACACCTCGGATAAACCTCATTTGCTATGATACTGCCACTACGCAAAGCTATGATTTTATTTATTTATTTAACACACAGAGCAAGCACAAACAGGGGGAGTGGCAGGCAGAGGGAGAAGCAGACTCCCCACTAAGCAAGGAGCCCGAAGCAGGACTCGATCCCAGGACCCTGGGAACATGACCTGAGCCAAAGGCAGATGCTTAGCCAACTGAGCCACCCAGGAGCCCCATTAAATGAGAATTATTTAAATTGATTTTTTAAAACTTCTCATTTCTTTCTGTCCTGTGATCTGAAGTTTGGACCATCCTTTCTTGGTTTTAAAAAGTGCTTATCTGGCAGACGAGCTTATTGTGGGAGTGAAGGAAAAGCGACGGCCTCTCAGAATGGCTCGGGCCTTGGACGGGTGGGCCCAAGTTTCCAAGGGCTCATCATTTTCTTTGTTCAGTGTCTTGCCTGGGTTTCCGGTGGAATTCTGGTTCGTGGGACCGCGGGGGAGGGAGGAGGAGATGGCTTCCATCTAGGTGACGCCACAAGCCAGTTAGACACTTGAAGATCTTAGAGCAGACATCCTCCCTTTTCTCCAGGGAGCAGATGACCCCCACCCCCCCGAAGTCTGGTAGGTGTCCCCAGTCTTAGCCTTGGACTGTCACAGGCATCCTGCTGAGCTGGAGTCTCGTGCATAACCGTGTGTCTCCTCCATCAGAGCAGTGCAGGTGCCGTGCTTGCTGGGCTCCCCGCGTGCCTCCCCGTGTGGCTCGTGCCCGTGCACAGTGTGGCTCGTGCCCACGCGCAGTGCTGCTCAGGCAGATGAGAAAGCAAACGCACAACCTGATGCGGCCGGTGGCCAACTGAGAAATGCTTCTGTGTCTTCAGACACTCCTATTTGATTTCTGTTCCAATTTCTCTTCCTTCAGGCTCAGAAAACTTCACCAGCTCAGAGTCCGGGGTCTGTGCAACCAACTGGGAGCAGTCAGAACGTGAAAGGGGACCTGGAGAAGTCTGGAAGTGCCAGGCATGGAGACTTGCACAGGTAAGAGCCCGGGTCAGAGGACTGGCCCAGCCCAACGTGTGGCTTGCTCGCTACTAGCTCAGCATTTGCTTTGGAAAATTTACTCTAAAACCCGTGACATGGTCCTCCATGGTGACATGATCAAAGCAATGGCTTGTAGATGGCTTTGGGATTGCCTCGACCTGCATGATCGGAGAACTAATGTTTTTCTGCTCAATGAAACTAGCAATTATGGGCTTCTGTCCATTCCAGCAATACTCCGGGTTGTTTATCTTCATTATCAGAACTTATTTAAGCCTATAAAGGCTTGAATAAAATGATCAAGGCTACCAAAGGACGTATCAGGGGTGTCTCATGCGTGGCGAGTTGGGGGAGTCTGTATTCCGGCCTGGTAGCCAATGAGGGCACCAGAGGACAAGACAGGATTCAAACTCTATTACTAACGTGACAGGTACCCTGAGTCCCAGGAAGGCTAGTGGGTGAATTCCAGAAATTAAGAAGGCCACACTGGTGCAGTGGAACCATCGGTCAAAGCCTTCCTCATTATGACCCCCGGGAGGTCCCGATTTCCCTGCCGTGGCTATTGGGAAAAAGTCCAACAGACTCCTCCCATGTGGTGTTTGACGCCCATAGTTTTAGGGGCGTTCCCAAGCAGAGGGCCAGCAGACGTGAACATTCAGTCCCCAGGACAGACTCGGGGCACGAACACTGGAGGCAGTCAGTGATTGTGGGTTCAGTGCGTGATCCGGTTGGAAGAACCCTCCTGGGGTTCCAGGAGGCTCTAATTACAGCCTTAAAGCAATAAATCAACAGGAGCTCCAAAAACAAAAATGAAAAATTGAAAGGTAGACCTCGCCCCCCCTACACACACATACACATCATAGATAATAGATAATGAGATTTTTAGGTCATGAATGCTTTGCAGTATCATGTTACCCAAGAGTTGAAGCAACATTTGTGTGTTTGGGCTGTAAACGATGGGGGATCCCGGGTGGGTCAGAGCGCCCCCTGGTGGCAGGAATTCCCAGGCCTGACCGGTATGACTCTCTGGGTCCTTCCCACTAATGCCCTCCAGAAGAGGCACTTTGAACCCCTTGGCCTGAACATTAGAATTCTTCAGGGAAATTGTGGGGCAGAGTGTTCTTTTTTGCTGAGGGCATCGCAGAATATGCCTTGAACAACACCTTTGATCCCTGTTTTCTGCAAAAGGGAGGCCTCCTTGGCCTCGTAGACCCCCTGCGGCTGTTCCTCATTCATGAACTTTTTATCAGGATTACTGGACAGAGGTTTTAATATTCGGCTCCAATGAGACCCGATGACCCATCTGAACTGGCTCGGGGTGATCACGAAACTAACAGATTCATCTTTTCTGGAATTCTCTGCGAAGGCCCTCCGTGCTGGCCGAGACCCGAGGTCCAGCCCCCTCTTCCCCCATGGAGGTTCTGGGATCCCTCAAGAGGCTTGGGAGGTATTTGGGGCCTGGGTCACAGCTCGACTGAGGATAACAGCAGCTGGAAGGGCTTTTGCTCCTTGTTCCTTCAGCTTTAGTCAATTATTCTTTTTCCCTTGAGGAAGAGTTGCTTCTCGTTGCCAAATGAACTAAGCATAAAAGAGGCGCCTTCCACAAGCCCAAAGAAGCAACTTCCTGTTCGCAATGAGAAACATGAATTCTGCTCTATAGACGCATGACTGTCTGTGGTGCAGGGCTCTGGACTAACTCGCTCGCAAACTCTCAAGAGGTGAGCGGGCTCCTGGAGTCGGGCCGTGTGCAGGAGGAGACACACGCTGCCCTTGGCATCTGCCATAAAGATAACGGCAGTTACCAGTTTGTACATGGGGACCAGACACCATGCCAAAGGCTCTAGGCACACAGAACACACTTTGATTTTCTTTAAGTCAATTCATTTCCAATTCCAAGTCCTTACTCTGTCAGGCTGGTGGGAATGCCCTTGCCAGCCGTCCCTGGAAGTCGCCATCATCTGTCCCCTCACCACCGTGGTGTGCACCGGTCCACACTACACCGTCCCTCAGGCCCTAAGACCATGCTGCCTTCAGGACACTCTTGGCGCCGGGGGAATCTTTGGTGAGGCTGGGAGCCCCAGGGCCATTCCCTTCAGGGTTCTGTGCCCGTCCCCCGTGAGCCCGGGGACACAGTCAGGAAGCAGGGAGGGACTCTCAGACGTTGGCCACTTTCTACGACCTGGCTCTCTTGTCATCCTCAAATACAGTTGCCTCTTTCTTTGCTACATCAGACGATCAGCATTTTCTCTTCATAGGATCTATTATAGGTTTTTACAAAAGATTGAAGAAGCCATTGACCTCGTACTGTGTTTTCTCCTTGGAAAAACTCCAGAGAGAAAGCACAGAATGGCTTGCAGTGGCTCCTGCTGGGCCTGGAGACAAGGGCAGAACGTGGGGAGAAAGGCCTATGTTAATCTGGTCTAACAACCTCCACACAGCGTTCTCTCCGCTGTACAGATGGGGACACTGAGGCTTGGAGCCCTATGTCATTTATGCTTTAGTGGTAGTGGTAGAAAGTCCGCTGTTTCTGCCTTGAGGCTTCTTCCCTTTGAATTACACAAGGAAGGCGTTCCTACATCCCCAAGGGGGTTCAGCTTTTCATCCGAAGGAGTCCCATCAATCTAACTGCCTTGCTTTCCCTTCGCCACATGGTGTCGCTGTTGGAACTTTAGCTCTCTGTTGGTCAAACCTGGGCAGAGGCTGGGAGGCACAACCCTGATGCCCATCCATGCACCAGTCCAGGACTCCTGAGGGAGGATGATCCCACATTCCCAGGACAAAGCTGGGTTGCCCTCTTACTGCTCAGCAATGTCCATCCCGAGCACGGCTGCCCTGGGTACACACGTCCAGTTCTGGGTCCATCGCCCACCATCTCATGAGCCTTCTCCTCCCTGCTTGGGTACCAACAGCCAGGGATGGCAGCAACCCCCCCCCCATTTTTTTTTAAATCCTCAAAACACAATGAGTCTCATTCTACAACCTTCCCCAGATCATAAAGCTATTGGGTTGCACCAGAGGAAATGACTGTTTTGCAGGGAAAAGTTGTGTTGTGGCCATTTCCTGACCTTTGGCATCCTACCTGCTCATTCTTCCAAGGAAGGCGGCGGTGATAGTTCAAAGAAAATGGACTTTTCTCAGGGAGAACCTACGTGAATTTCTGGTGCCTCCATCACTGATGAAGGACCAGAAACTCGACAGCCTATAGTCTTAACCATGATCCATAGGTTCTTAAATGTGAGCAGACAGCAGGATCGCCCGCCAGGCTGCTTAAAACACAGATCGCTGGGTCTCTTTCCCAGACATTCTGATGCAGTAAGTGTGGGGCAAGGCTCAAGAATGAGCTCCTAACCAGTTCCTATGTGACACTGATGCCGCTGGTCCAGACCTGATGTGTTATCCCCCGGGGCTGTGGGATGCCAAGGCTGGGTGCTGTGGGGGTTCTCTGAGGGCAGCGGTGGGGCATCCTGAGCTAAAGGGGATAGCTCGAGAGACCACTCCAGGTAGGGGCAGGGATCTCAACCGTAGATTCAGTATCTCCCTCCCTCCTGCTGCAGGAATCTTCCTGGACCTTTTATTCCTAATTGCCCGCCCTTCCCCAGAAGATTTCCATACTATAGATCTATCATATATGTTCTGTGGTCTTTGGATAACCTCTCAGACCGATAATACTTTGTAATTACACTGTGATAGCTGAGGTATCTTTCCCCCTCCCAAGAGCCCACTTTCGCTCCTCTGGGGTGGGTCCAGGCCCCCTGAGCCCATGGCTCTGAGGTGGTGACAATGACGGAGGAAGAAATATAGCTTTGATATTCTGGATATTTTGGAGCTGAGAGAAGCCAGGACTTGCTGATGGATTGGATTTGGAAGGAGGGAGAGAACAGTCAAGGAAGATTCCGGAAGCTTTGGCTTGAGCAATTGGGTGGCGAGGATCATTTGCTGGGAAGTGAAAAAGTGAACCAGGTGTATTTACTGAGGGCCATAGACACAGGGCCAGTGTCCAGGAGGCAGTCCTGTTGTTACCTGGTGAAGCTGGCAAGACAGTGTGCCGCTCACAACCCTGGGCTCACCGGGGACACACACGACAGTCCTCCATCTTTAGGAAGAAAGCCGGGCGCTTCTGTGTTTCAGGGACAGCTCACCTCCTGCTCTACACGCAGCGCTGTCAACACCTGAACCTAGGTCATCCCTTTGGGGGAGGCGGGGGGGATATATTCTGTTTAGCAAACACAGATCTGCAGCTCAGCACAGGCCAAGCTCTGAGCCTGAGACCAGAGGTAAAAAAGACAAACAGGACATGTGGGTCCGGTTGTAGAGAGATGCGTGTAAACACATCATTCTAGAAAGCTCAGTGCTGCAGGCAGGCTCTGTGGCAGCACAGGGGTGGGAGACAGGGCCTGGCTCTGCTGCACGGAGGGAGAGAGTGCTCCAGAGGGAGTAGCCTTGCCGCTGGGTCTTCAAAACCAGCTAGAAATAGGGCTTCGTGGGGGAAGGAGACAGTTCCAGGCAGCGGGAACAGCTGTCATTACAGAGCTAGAAGAGACAGAATTTAGGAAGGACTAGACTTACTTGGTTCTTCCGTAGAGAATTCCAGAACTTCTTTAAGTCTGGAAAGGGAAGATGGGGCATATGTAGTGAGCTCAACCGCTTGTTTTTTTCAAACATACAAATTCTTACTAGCACAGAAATCCTCGGCGTTTGGGTAGAAGGAGCTCAGGGAAGGGTAGAAAGATGGTTTGAAACATGAAACTTGAGGTGCTGGCCGAGGGTGTTCCTTGAGCCTTGCCTTCCACGAGTCACCTGCCAGCAGGGCGTGGGACCCGGGGCTGAAACGCCACACCCACTGCTCAGCGCTGACGCCTGCAGATGACCTCCAGAAGGCCATGGGGGGGGGGGGTCGAGGAGGTGAAGAAATGACCCCCCCCAAAGTGTGGCTTGGTGGGGCCTGGAATCCAGCTGGGTTTGGTGGTGCCCGGAAGCCTGGGCTCGGAGCCACGGTTCTG